CTAATTTAGAAAATATTTTAAAGTTTCTGCTATAGCTATGCCGAACAAAAATCAGCTATATTTTCTCCAACAGTGGAAGGAGAATAAAAATCAGATCTGAGTTATTCTCCAACAAAAATCCGATATATTTGACCTCAAAAAGGTTGATAATCAAGAAAGAAGGAAAGATCTGGCTCTGGGTTCTCTTGAAAATGCCTTATTTTGAGATGTCTCTTTGTTGAACCAGATCTCTTGTAAAAGAAGCAAATATATACTCCTCCTTTGTTTTAGTTAGCAAAACTCTGCTACTGAACTTTACACCGAGAAACAGAGAAAAGAGCAGGAAGAAAACAACTACTAAAACAGAGTAAAGAGATCACTCAAATTATGAATATACCACGAAATTGAAGTTTTATTTATGAAAAATAAAATAATAATAAAAATAAAATTTTAAATTATAAAATAAATTTCTAATATAGGTAATTTTACAAAAAATAAATTTTTATCTTAAAACTAAAAAAGAAAAAAAAATATGTAAAGAAATAAAATGACAGTGAAAAATATTACTATAACATTTAGATATAATATGCTCAAACAATTAAGAAAATATTTTTCTGTGAGTAATATCTGAATCGAGTGGAGTTAGTTTGAGTTTGAATGCATAGCATAATTATTTGAAAATGAGGTCCAGTTTAGAAAATAAAATGATAAGAATTATTTGAGTTTGAGATGAGATTGTTTTTTGAAAATATTACGTAAAGAATTAAAATGACAGTAAAAATATTATTAAAATATTTAAAAATAATGTGATCAAGAAATTAAGAATTTTTTTTCTATGATTAAATAAATTTTAAAAATACAAAATAAATTTCTAATATTGGTAATCTTAATAATGAAAATTAAAAATGAAATTTTATCTTATAGCTAAAAAAGAACAAAAATTTAACTGCATCTAATACAAAATTAATTATAATAGAACTCAATACATTTGGAACATGATAATCAAATAACTTATGTATTAATATTTTATACTTATGATTAATATCTGAATCGAGTGCAGTTAGTTTGAGTTTAAATGCATAGCATAACTTTTTAAAATATGGTCCAGTTTAGAAAATAAAATGATAAGAATTATTTGAGTTTGAGATGATTTTTTTTTAAAAAAAAGTATTACGTAAAGAATTAAAACGATAGTAAAAATATTATTACAATATTTAGAAATAAATGTGTTCATAAATTAAGAATTTTTTTTCTATGATTAAATTTTTAAAAAAATACAAAATAAATTTCTAATATTGGTAATATTAATAATGAAAATTAAAATTAAATTTTATCTTATAGCTAAAAAAGAAAGAAAATTTAATTGCATCTAATACAAAATTAATTATAAGAGAACTCAATACATTTGGAACATGATAATCAAATAACTTATGTATTAATATTTTAGACTAATTAAAAGTTACAATTTAAAACAAAATATGACATTATTTTAGTTATAGGTAAAATATTAATATAAAACTAATTAACATTTACAGTAGGGAAGAAAATGTATATTAAAAAGAAAATAGAGGTAGTGTGAGGATACTTATTCTTTAAATTAATTTTAATATAGAAAAATAAAATAATTAATTATATTTAAAAATATTATTGACAAATTTAAATGATTAAAATATTATGAATAAGAGGATAAAAGCATAAAAATATGTCAAATTTCGAGAATAAAATATTATTTTTATCACATAATATTAAAAGAATAATAAGCAAGAAATTAATTTAATTATAAGCTAATATAAAATTATATGATAGGATAATAATATGAAATATTAAATAATACAATAACTATAAGAAAAGAACAAAAAAAAAAGAATTTACGTAAAAATGATGTGATGAATAAGACATATTTTACTTCCTGATTAAAATAAAGTGATTGTAAGAATTTTGTTAAAATAATATGATCTAATGTGCTTGAACAAGACAGATCACAATGTGACATGTTTAGTATTCTTAATATCGACAACAAAACGAAATGCAAGTACTAAAATCAAGGGGTTAGGTTGCTACAAATATATGTTAAAAAGATTGGTTGTCTATTACGGGATTTGATCAATAATTTCATATCCTACTTCATAATTAAATTCTCATGTTATATAATTTTTATCTGAGAGATATATATTTTAAAATTATTTGTATATAATTCAAACAACATACATCGCAATTTGACATGATTTGTCCGCGCATCGTACGGGTACTAATACTAGTTCGATTAAAAGATTTTTTTGGGGATTCGTCCTTGGTGGGAACTTGCAAAACATCCTGGGTGTAGGTTTTTGTTTTGTGATGCTTACTTTGCAAGTGTCTGATTGCGATCTAATCACGATGTTCAGGTTCGCCCAGTAATTCCTGCACAAATTATTGGTTAAATTTTCTAATTAATACTATTGACCGTCAAATTATTTTAACGCATGGCTGATACAAAGTTCTCATTATATGAAAATGAAGACTGAGATTAACTCAAATAATAAATTATAATATTTTATACTATTTTATAATTGAGAACATCGTGAGGGTAAACACCATATAAACTTTTCTTCTGAAAATTTATAGTCGAAATGTATATCTTCAGTTACTATTGGTCTTCATGTTTAGTCTCTCAAAAGCATATAAAATGCGGTTAATCCCGCCGTGCCTCAAGCTATTATTGCTTGAAAAATTGACGAATTCAAACTTCTATTATTTTACTAATTGAAAGTGATTTTATATTTATTCATGAATGGGTAATTTTAAATTATAGCACTGATAATATTTATCGATTATTTAAGTTTAAAAAGGCAGAATATTTAATTTGACAATATATTTAAGAATTTTTTATTTTTTAATGTTCGAAGGTTAATATATTATAGCTAATTTTTATCTCTTGACAACTTTAATATTACTACATTATTTATACGTTTATAAGCATGCACGATTTTTGTTTTCTATGAGCTTCTTTAATCATTTTCAATTTCTTGAATTTAATTTAATGTATTTTTCATATTTTTGTGTTATTATGATATTTTATTAAGTTATAAATTTAACAATTCATAAATTTATGCGGCTTATAAAATGTCTCGGGTCTTATGTCACTCTTACTAAATTAAACGCCTTGCCTCGTGCCTTCTCCTATTAACATTGATTTTACCTACTAATTGGTAAGTTGCCCCTTAAATTTGATCCGGAAAAAATTATTTATACCCCTTATCTTTACATGCAACCTATTATTCCCTATCCTTGTTTGAAATAGTACAAAAAGATATCCTTTTTCAAAGCTTTTCTATCAAATTCTTTAAGAAAATTCAAGTAAAAAATTGGAATAAAAAACTATCCCAGCTTATCTAGTTTAAAACCAAATGGCCAAAATCATATGCGGCCCCTTAAACTTGTCCCGATTTTCCTCCGAGGCACCTTATCTTAGGTCTGTTTCAATTGGACAATTCACCTACTCAAAAAAATTACCTATTAGATACTTTTTTGACACCCAGCAAAAATAAAGAATGTGTTCAATGCACTCGCGGATGACATGACTTTTTGACTAATTAAAACAAGACATATGGCATTTGGGACCAAAATAAATTTTAAAAAGATAAATTATTAAGTAAAAAAAATATATTCAAACATAATCCTAAATTTGCTGCCACCGTCACCTTCTCTCCACGCCGTCTCCACTATTTCGATCAAAATGTAACGATTCTCTCTCTGCCAGTAGTGGTTCTTGGTGTGCCTTCCTTTTTCTCTGTTTTTCAAGCCCTCTCTAATCTCTGTTAGAGAGAATACTTTGAATTTAAAAAATAAAGTCTTAGAATGGAATTTTTACCGGTGGAACAACTGTGATTCCCGGCAACTCAAACAGGACCGCCGACCTCTCTTTTGACCTCAACTTCATTTTTTTCGTTTTATTTTCTTTTTGCCGGCTTTATGGTGGTAGATGGACAATATATCAGGTGATTTTGGTGAAGTTCATAGCTGACTAAAATGGAGATTTGGACCAGGGTTGTCCATATGTATTCTTGACTGGTTTTATTATAGAAAAATGGGTGAAGCTGAAGAAGGTGGTGGCAGATCTGAAACCCGAGGAAGAAATGAGGGGGCAACAACGATGTAATAGCAAATCTGAAGGAAAACGACGGTAGTGAAGGAGATGAGGTGGCTGGAAAAAAAAAGAAGTAGAAAAAGAAAGATGGATAGTGGTGAAGTCGACCGTGGTGGTAAGGTGGTGGATGGGAGGAAGTGGCGGCAAGAAGATAGAAGGAAGAAGAATAGATAAAATAAAAATTTGACTAAATAATGCCTTTCACGCGCTAGTTGAAGGTGCATTTCACACATCATGCCATGCCAGCGAGAAATATCTAATAAGTATACTTTTTGAGTAGGTGAAGTGTTCAATTGGAACAGACCTAAGATAAAGTGTCTTGGAGGAAAATCGAAACAAGTTTAGTGGTCCACATATAATTTTGGCCAAACCAAATATACTTTCTATATTATACCGTATATATCTTATTTTTATCCAAAATACTAAATAAAACTGTTATTATTTAGTCTTCATATTATAGCTCCGTTATTATAATTTCAGTGTAACTTTTTCACCAACCAAATTTTAGATATAATGTAACATTAAAATTTGCACAAGATTCCAAAAATAGACAAAAAAATAACAAAAATTGCAAAAATTATAACCCCATATGCGAGTTCCCGTTAAATGTTTTCTTTCCATGTTTCGATTAAATAATAATCCAATGTTTGTTGTATATTTGGTCGAATAATGGACTAAAACTACTCAAGGGTATATTTAAGGGATTATTTTAGACCTAACTCAAAGATAAAGGACCATTTTTTTAATATTCTCCGAGTCCTTACCTAGACTATCATTACGGTATTTTTTTACTTTTTTTTAGCAGGTCTTTTGTACGTCCTGTTTATTTTCTTTCAAGGGAATTTGTCTTGTTATAATCGCACTTTCTTAATATTTCTCCGTTTGTTAAAGTAGTTTATATTTTACTTTAGGTTGGATTTCTCAGGATGGAGTAGAGGATAAGGGAGCATTGCGAGTATGATTTAAAGAAATGATTTCCCTATAAGTGGGTTCGTTGAAATAACCTCCTCTTTTCCTATTCATTAGCCAACTTAAAAATATATATTTCCTTTTCAATATGGGGTAAATTATTGTTTGATTACTCTTCTTCTAATATTGTTAGAAAACTGATTAGGTATAAAGATAGGAAAAGTCATTTGAGAAGAACAATCCCTCCTATCTGGACTTTACTCTTGTCAGCATTTTCCTAATCAAACGCTATTAGAAAATTCAAGCACCAATTTCATTGGATTTTAGTGTTTATTCTCTCTCTCTCTCTCTCTCTTTTAGAATAATATAAAAGCAAATTGTTTTCTCTCTCTATCTATCTTGTCAAATCTGCAGTCTTATGGGAATGTTTTATCTTTTCTCTGTAAAAATTCAGTGTTAGATTCTTTCGATGAAGGAGGTGTTTGGGAGTCCAGGGAAGGTAAGTGGGCTAATATTGAGGATGGGTCAATGTTTATTGGCTTCTGCTTCTATTGCAGTTATGGCCTCAGCTTCTGGTTTCTCCAGCTCCACTGCCTTTTGGTATTTCACTCTCTTCTTCTTGATCTTTTCTTTTTAATTACTAGATCTTTCAATTATCTGGGCAAATAGAGTATATACGCTGTAAATATGGAATACAAGTTCAAAAGAAAGCTTGTCTCTCTAGTATCATACTCATGTTTAGATATCTGAGCTAGAAGACCTTACTTCTGTGGCACATTAGCGCTTATATGTAATTCTGCTTTGTCATTCTTGGGCAGTAAAAGAGAACCTGCTTTTCTAGCCCCATTTCTTTTATTTAATTTCCTCTTTTGGTTGTTGAAAGTAAACTTTTATCTTTCAGTATTTGTAGTGCATAAGAATTCTACAAGGTTGCAGATAAGGTAGTAAATCACTAGAAAAAAGGACAGTGAAGTTTGAGTTTTGCTTTCCAAAATCTTTGAAAAACCTGTTCTTCCCAGGTTTGGCAACTCTGATTGAATCAGTGATTGAGCAAATATGCCTTTGTACTTCATGATAATATTTGCCTGTAGACCAATTTGGCCTTCTTAATATGTATTTCCATCTGCTGGACCATATTTTGGCAATTAACTTATGCTTGGTTATTAAGTTAATTGTGCTTCCTTCTTTCTAATTCTTATTCTATTTAAAGGAAAGGAGTGGATACTTGCTATCCTTTTCTTAGAGACAAACATAGTGACCCAACATTGAGTAGTTTCCTTTGAAGTATCAGTGTTGAGTCCACTATTTTTTTAGTATTGCTTTTATTACCTTCTCCTAAGCCGAGGGTCAACCGGAAACGGCCTCTGTGCCTTCTTGAAGGTTGGGGTAAGGTCTGCGTACACACTACCGTCCCCAGACCCCACTTGTGCGATTACACCGGGTTTGTTGTTGTTGTTTTATTACCTTCCTATTGTTTCTCTCTACTTTGCACTAACTGTAGGTTCTACTAAAACAAGGAGTTGATTCACCAGCTCAAGACTGCTTTCTTTAGACTATAAAATGAAGCTTACCTTCAGATTTCTTGCTAACTTAAATGCACTGTTCTTCCTTTCGTAATACTATTCCTTGTAATGTTCAATGACTCAATTATGGCTCATGCTCAAAATGTCTGATTTTCCTGGTTCAGCTATTTAATAGCATCAATGGGGTTGCAAGTATTGTGGAGCTTTGTTCTTGCCTGCTTGGATATCCATGCTTTAAGATTGAAGAGAGATCTGCGGAATCATGTCTTTGTGAGCTTGTTCGTGGTTGGTGATTGGGTAATCTTCTCCATTTTGTTTTCTTTTCATGCATCAATGCTTATCTGTGAAGATTTACTAATCCAAGAAGAACATGATTAAAAAATTAGAATACATTCTTTGCTTCTCAAATGCATCTTTTCAAGCATTCACACTTAGGTAAGAAGGTTCTCCCGCACTCCCCAAAAAGAATTAAAAAGAGTTTTAGGATAGATTTTACAGGTCCTAACTCCGTCAAAATGTAGAACCCCTTTCTATGATAAGAAAATGAGTGAAACAGAGATTCGCTATTTATTTAGCTATGCTAACTTCAAGATCACTACTGTCGTTTTCCAAAGTTGAGAAACATGTCCGGGGTAACAGATAGCAAACTGATTAGTGAGGAGGCTGCACCTTGTGTCATTTACAAAGAGTTTAATTTCTCTTAAAAAATAAATATGCTATTTCTGCTACTACATACTGAAAAGTAGCTATTTTGTTTTTCGCCACATCCTAACTCATAAGACAGCACAGGAAATAAAAGGGTTGAGATTTACATGAAATACATTTCATTGGGTTGCTAATTTTGCAGCTTCTAATCTTTAAAGCTTTACATGATACAAGTTGAGTGGAAAAATATCTAGAGTCTGCATATGGGACGAGAAAGACCAAGAGTCCAAGAATATGTTTATTTAATATGTCATTTATAGAATGACAAAGACCAAGTATTTGTTCATTTAAAGGATTATTAGGTTCTGCTAAGATCAAGTTATGTCCATTTCCATCAAGCTTGCCGAAGCCAAGTGATCCGTGTATTTCGCACTATCTTCTTCAATTGTTATGGAACTGCATCAAGTGGTTTATATGACGACCACTTTCCATTGCACAACCTACAGAGATATTCTTTTGTTCTGAAGGTGTCTTATACCATGAATTTGTATGTAACTCATTAATAATATGGAAATGTTGATATGCGCTGTTGGATGTTCTGAAGTGCTTTGTGCACAAGTACATCCCTCCCCCCATACCAAAGAAAAAAAAAAGATAAAGAAGAATATAAAGCCATGGATCATGGTTTATGTTTGCTACCCCAAAGTCAAACGTTTTCAGAATGAGTTTGAGTTAGTACTTTCTAGTCTGTTCCTCATGTAGAAGCTAGGAAGATTGGAAATATTTTGCGGGAAGCGATTGTCACACGTTTGCGATATTTACACATGGTAGTTCAAATGCGTTTTATGGTTTGAAGCTAAGTCAAGAGGGGTTGCTCTGATGGTAAGCAACCTCCACTTCCAACCAAGAGGTTGTGAGTTCGAGTCTCCCCAAGAGCAAGGTGGGAAGTTCTTGGTGGGAAGGATGTCGGGGGTCTATTTGGAAACAACCTCTCTACCCCAGGGTAGGGGTAAGGTCTGCGTACACACTACCCTCCTCAGACCCCACTAAGTGGGATTATACTGGGTTGTTGTTGTTTTGTTGGTTTGAAGCTAATATTCAACTAGGCATGCATGTCTAATATTAGAATGAATTGAAATATAGGTGATACTTTGAGATTATACTGGAGATACAAGTATAATACACGATATTAGCATGGGGTCACTGTATCCAAATATTCCATTCATTTAAGGAAAAATAGACCTCGAGCCAAAGATAGGCACCCTGACCTGTGCCAAATTTTGCTCATACACTCTTTTATTGTCCATATAGTGAGTGTCGAGTGCCATGGTTACCCTTTAGAAAAAGCTAATATAATGTTGACATGCTAATTAAGTATGTGCTCAAGTCTGTGGTACTTTATAATTTTAATCTTGTAAACGATGACACTCTACATAATATTTTAACTAATACATAACTGTAACTACTATCTTATAACTAGTTCAGTAAATGTAGCGCCCCAACTGCTGAAAGTTCCCAAAACAAAGAGAAACGAAATTATGGCAAACAATGCGGATATTTAACTTCTTTTCAAAGATTTCATTGTTTCTCTGGTGAATTGATCCTCCAATGTCTCGCCTACCTGTTGCTGAGTAATGATGTAAAAATTAATTTCTGCTTAATAGTCAGGCTGTGAGCAGGCAAAATTCTCGTTGTCTTTCTCCTTTTGTGTAAGGTGACACTATCAAATTGTTCCTTTTTTATGTGTCAGTTCAAGACTGATTTAGTATTCATATTGCAGTTAGTGGCAAAGCCATGTTTACTGAAGAGGGTTCAACTGAACTCCCTTCGCAGAAAGTTGTATTTTGTATATGGATGAAACTTTTATATATGTATATATATAAGTTGTTGAATCCCCTACATACTAGAGAACATTGTTTTTGAATCTCTGCCACTGATTGTGGTCGTGTCATAATGTAGGTGACAGCCACTTTATCCCTCGCGGCTGCCTGCTCATCAGCTGGCGTGGTGGTTTTGTTTGTGAAAGATACAAATATCTGCAAAGTTGAGAATAAACTATCCTGCGACTTGTTTCAAATTTCAGTGGCTTTGTCTTTTCTCTCATGGTTCCTTCTTGCTATCTCTTCCTGCGCCATGTTTTTGCTTGCAGCCTCTGACTAAAGGATATTATTTTTCAATTCATGTTGTGAATATTTCAGAAATTATGTACAGGAAATATCCTCTCACTGGCTTGCTTCCGAGGTCATGTTAGGACACTCAGTATATTCGGAAATGAAACTTCATTATTTTTTGTTGCAATTTACGGTGTAATGTTTTAAATTTGATTTCTGGAATCATTTAATCAACTCCTTTTTTGTCCTTTCATCTTTCTATACAGGGTGGAATTTTATCTAGAATATTAAAACTACTGNATATATATATATATATATATAAACTTTTGGTCTTTCTTGGTTTCTGTTAAATCGGGCAGTTTCTTAATACACAGTTATCTTACCAGCCTTGATCCAATGTTGGAAGGAGAAGGTATCAATTGCCAGGGTTCACTTTTTAAGGAAATATTGGTAAATGTTCAATTTGGCTTAAGAATCACCCTTTGTCAACTATATTTTCTTTATGAAAAAAGTCACCTTTGGTTTAGCAATATTTACCAAACTAGGCTCAGATGGAAACTCTATTCTCAAATGTTTTAGTTACAGCTTACATGATGGTAACCCTCATATAGCAAGAGGTTCGTAATGATCGGTAAACTTGTTCTAGTTAGACCAACACGTTGTTGCTACTATGCGTCCTTTCCTAAACCTTGTCGAAGGACATGAGTTGACCAAGCCCATAGGCTGTGGTTCAATTGTAAGAGCATAATGCATGATGTTCAATTGTAAGAGCATAATGCACGATGTTCAATTGTAAGATAGTTTGGGCGAGTGTCACGAGTTAAAATCATGCTACAAATAATAAGCCTACTGTTTAAATGGAAAAAGATAGGGGCAGGTCTATTATCGGTTATCAAATAAAATTATGAGTTGACTTGGCCGGGAATGCCTTGGTTGGTAGGCTCGCTACAAAAATCACTTCAACTGATTAGGTACCATCACCTTATCAATAGGCCCTGTCTTGTAACATTAGGTTATCATCTTTAAACTGGCAGTTAGTTTTTCTGGTAGTCAAAGCATTGGCTTATAAGTTATGAGTATCAAACACAGCTAATGGATGCCAGATATTCCTCATTTACACCCTTCCACTGACCTGGCACCTAACTAGCCTGGTCTTAAGTACGAACCGACCAAAAAAAGTTGAATGTAATTAACAAACTTTTAAGGTTTAAGGATTAAGGATTAATTTTAAGCTAATTTTAATTGAATAAAGACAATGAATTCTAGTTGGACTCAACTTTCTCGAGCTCCTTAAAGTTGTAACATGATTTGGGATATGTAAGAAAAATGAGTAGATAATATTGACTAAGAACAAGAAGGAAAGAAGAATAACTTATAAAAATATTGTGTCATGGCAAGCCACTGCTTTGAAAGCGATTTCGGCCCGACTGGATGCAAATCGTTAAGACCGGTCGCTCCCCAAGGTTCCACAGCACCTCCAAACACATGCACTCATGACTGGAAGTTAGAATTTGCACAAAACAATTTCCAAGAAAGAAGAGAAGATGAAGGTATTTTCTGTAGCTGTTACAGAAATTAAAATGTTGTAGGAAGAAAATAATGATTAGTAAGATGAATTCTTGGTTAAGAATTGAGTGAATATGATGGCTAACGATCATCCTATTTATAGGCAATTAGGAAGGTTGCATGTATCATAAGTGTGGAGAGTCTTTTAATACTTGTCCAAATATATTAGTCCACTTGGCTTCAATATTAACAAGTTTACCTAGTTTTCCATGCATGAAGACACATGGTAGATTTGCATAGCCACTTGTCAAAGCCATTCAACACTTGGCTTTAAATCAATGTCACATGTAAAAACTCTTGTCATGTACCAATTATCTAAGAGTATTTGGCCACAAGGCTTTATGCAAGAAGCCACTTGAAAATAGATAGGATACTTAAAAAATAAAAAGACTCATTGCTATTGGTTGTAAATGAATTTTCAAAAAGAAATATTTGACTTTGCATTATAAATAATACCAATAATCCCCCACTAATGCAAAGACAAAAATAGAACAATTCTAGGCAAAAGAAAGGAACATGTACTTAAGTGTCAATATCTTTCGATTTGAATTGACACGTAGTGAAATGAGGCAACAACTAACATCCACAAAGTGAAGTACTCTTGAACTGAATGGACATTAGTTGGGACCCCCACAACATATACTATATCCTTAATTTTATACAAACTCCGCGATACTAACAAAGTGTTTTTATGGTCATGCACATACCTTGGGTCTCATGAGTGCTCTAGAAAGACATCCCAAGTCTTTCATAAAAGGCGACCGCACCTTTACACTCACGTAGGTGATTCCATCAAGTCTATCTACACATAGACTGCCTTAAGGCTATGGAATTATTAAGAGCAAAATAAGTTCAACCTTATAAAGCACTACCGCACGCCATAGTGATAGGAATGTAGTGCATATTGAGGTCTCATATGGCTTCGTTTGACCACAAACGGGTATCCACCATACTTCCTCAATCCATGGGTTTTAGCCCCATCCCCCTCGACGTTTCAAAGATAACTCTCCTTGCCAAAACCTTGGTTAAAGGATCCACCAAATTTCTTTTGGATCTTACATATTCCAAGGAAATAACACCATGTTTCAATAACTGTTTTACCGCACCATGCCTAGTGAGGATATGTCTTGTTTTTCCATTGTACACACTATTTTTGGAAATTCCAATTGCCTCCTATGAGTCACAATGTAGAGAAACTGGTGAAGCTTGTCTTTCCCATAAAGGCACGTCTGCCAATAAGTTTCTCAACCACTCGGCTTCTTGCCCTGCCAACTCAAGAGCAGTGAATTCAGACTCCATAGTAGATCGTGCTATACAAATCTGTTTTGAAGACTTCCATGAAATAGCACATGCACCCAAAGTAAACACATAGCCACTAGTAGAGCTAACTTCATCATTGTTAGTAACCCAGTTTGCATAACAAAATCCTTCTAAAACAGTAGAAAATTTATTAAAATGCAAACACCAATTCATAGTACCTCTCAAATACCTTAGCAAACGATGAAAAACATTCCAGTGTTCACTACTAGGGTTGTGAGTATATCTACTCAATCTACTAATATCATAAGCAATATCAGGTCATGTATAAATCATGAGAAACATTACACTACCAATTATCTTAGCATACTCAGTTTGAGAAATACTAGATTTTTTATTCTTTTTCAAGTGTATGCTAGGATCATAAGGAGTTCGCATAGGTGCTACATCAAAATAATTAAACCTTTTCAATATTTTCTCAATATAATGAGACCGGGACAATGAAAAACAATTAGAAGTTCTTTTGATTTTAACCCCTAAAATCACATTTGCTTCTCCAAGTTCTTTCATTTCAAATTTAGAAGACAAAAAATTCTTAGTCTCATTAACGACATTCACATTAGGGCCAAAGATTAACATGTCATCCACATACAAACATATAATAACACATTCTGATCTTATCATCTTGGAATAAATACAAATATCAGATGCATTAACAACAAAATTATTTAAAAGACCCATGGCTATTGGTTGTAAAAAGACCCATGAAGTTTAAGAAAAATTGCAGAAAATCATGGAAAAGCTCACTATTTTCATGGCTGAAGAGTAGTGATAACCATGGAAAAGCTCACCGTCTGTCGGAGAAAACCAATTTTCTGGTTCATATAGGAAAGAATGAGAGAGAGAGATCGTACAGAGAGAAATAGGATACTATGCGTGGTTTTGGGAGAGAATAAACTGAAAGAATGAGAGAGAAAAATATTAGACAATATATTTAATGGCTTAATAGTAGGAAGTGATCATAAATACATATTTTGCTACAAAAACTAAAAGACAGCTATAGAAAATAATATTTTAAAAGGATTTTTATTTATAATAAATAAGGTGTAAAGCTTGCTATAGGAGGTAAAATTTCCTATACTTTATGCATACCAGCTAGGAAAAGTAAGGGACTTTTTAAAAATCTCGAAAAGTAAACAGTGAATCTGACGACTATTTGTGTAAAGATTCTTTTATTAGTGGTATTTAGTCTCTAGTGACTTCAATATCTGGATCCAAGTATTATGGTTTAAGATTAATACAGACAACTATTATCTTCAAATAAAAAAAGAAAAAGAGGTCCAATCACGAAAAGTTCATATCTAATGAAGGAAATTTTATCTCCTATAGCAAAGCTTTATACCCTATTTATTATAAATAAAAATCCCTCTAAAATATTATTTTCTATAGCTGTCTTTTAGTTTTTGTAGAAAAATATGTATTTATGGCCACTTCCTACTATTAAGCCATTAAATACAATGTCTAATATTTTTCTCTCTCATTCTTTCAGTTTATTCTCTCCCAAAATCACGCATAGTATCTTATTTCTCTCTCCACGATCTCTTTCTCATTCTTTCCTCTATGAATCGGAAAATTGGTTTCCTCTGATAGACGGTGAGCTTTTCCATGATTTCCATGGTTGTCACTACTCTTCAGCCATGAAAACAGTAAGCTTTTTCATGATTTTTTGCAAGTTTTCTTAACATCCTTTTCAAAAGTCTTCTTTCCCTATTCCACAGGACGTGGAGGCGAGACACCAAAATTTTCTATTTTGATTCATGATTTCTTGCTTCTGTCAAGAACTATGAATTGTGCAAGTCGTAAATTATCAACACAGATTTTCACCACTCACCACTAAAGTTTTTGGGTTTTTGGCCGGTTAAAGCTTCTCTTTTTTCTCTTCAACATTTTTTTAAAAAATATTCACCATTGTTAGGTATTCTACAGAATATTCACTAAAGCACTCAATTTCAAAGGGTCATCTTTCGATTTGCAAATCACTCAAGTAGAAATTATATTTGCAGGTTCATCAGCAACCATTGAAGCCGAAAGGAGAACAAAAATGCGCAATGACTCTAATTGTAGATGTATTTATATGTATTCGAGTCCGCATATATTGATTTTTAGTTTCTACAGTGATTTTCTCTTCTTGTATTTATATATATATATATATATATATATATATATATATATATTCGATAAGGCATACACTGATTTTTATTTTGTACAATGATTTTTGACTGTTGTATTTAGATGTATTTATATGTATTTGAGTTCTTACAACAACATTTTTAATTGTTAGTTCTATCATTTTGATGTTATTCATCAATTAGTTATGCATTCAAACTAACTGTATTCATCTATATTTTAAACATAACTGTATCCATCTGT